GGTTTTTCCCAAAAAATGGCTAAAAAATAACCCTCAATTTTTATTACATTTTCTGATACATATTGATGTACTTATGCTCTGTAGAAAGTTTGAGCTAATTCCAACTTGAATTTTTCAAGTTATGGCCATTTTAAGAAAACGCCAAAATTCTAAAAAAATCACTGTACTATAGTCCATGGTTTTTCTGAAAAATGGGTAAAAAATGACCCCCAATTTTTATTACATTTTCTGATACATATTGATATACTTATGCTGTGTAGAAAGTTTGAGCTGATTCCGACTTAATTTTTTCAAGTTATGGCCATTTTAAGAAAACGCCAAAATTCTAAAAAAATCCCTGTACTATAGCCCATGGTTTTTCCCAAAAAATGGCTAAAAAATAACCCTCAATTTTTATTACATTTTCTGATACATATTGATGTACTTATGCTCTGTAGAAAGTTTGAGCTAATTCCAACTTGAATTTTTCAAGTTATGGCCATTTTAAGAAAACGCCAAAATTCTAAAAAAATCACTGTACTATAGTCCATGGTTTTTCTGAAAAATGGGTAAAAAATGACCCCCAATTTTTATTACATTTTCTGATACATATTTATGTACTTATGCTCTGTAGAAAGTTTGAGCTGATTCTGACTTAAATTTTCCAAGTTATGACCATTAAAAAAAATTATGTCCCTAATTAATTAATCAAATCCCATTCCCTCAGGTCCTCAGTGGTAAGCTAATGCCGACCAATCAGATCACTGAAGTCGATTCATCTCAAACTTTCCGTCGAAACTTCCTAGAGGCCGAAGGCCTCAAAGTTGTTCTTAACATACTCCACAGCTCCAATTTCCCTCCGGAAACCGACGTTACCGTCCGTCAAGACTGTTACGCAATCACTCTAACCCTAGCGAGAATCCTTTTATGTCCTCCGCCCACTTCGTCCGATACTGAAGGTGGTGTGGAGGGAGTTGATAAGCCACACCTTCCTGTTGGTAGACAGATGAGTCGGAATGTAGAGGATGAGGTCGCTAGACATACAATAGAGGTAAGAGCGGCCATCTTGTTTTAAATGTACCTGTACTTGTACATGTGTATTGTTTTACAGTATAAATTATTTCATATTTTTAAAATTTTGTTATGTACATGTACTTACATGTACATGTACATGTAAGTACATGTACATGTAGGAGACGATCTCCCATTAAGTCTTTCATAATTAGATATATTTCCCAAAACTTATTTCTGAATCTTACAATGTACATGTAGATTTATTAATGTATTTATATTCCATATATAGACAATGACTAATGATGATTTCCGAACCATCCTCTCCTGCCTAATGAGAGTCTGCTGGTCAGCAGGAGCTGGTAAACTGTATCTTGCTACAGGAGAGGGCAGCGATCAGTTGAAGTCTGGCCTGTGCTCTTTCACTACCAGTGTAGTTAACAGCAAGGTATGTGATCTATTAACAGTAACAATTACCGTAAATCGTTAAATAGAAGCTGCATTCGAATAAACGCCGGGGTAGCAATATAATTTAACTTTAAGTATGCAACACTAGCCTAGGAGTGACTCAGTAGTCTAGTTGATAATGCCTGAAGTTCCAGAAGTCAAAAGCATGAGGTCACGGGTTCAAATCCCGCTCTGGGCCTAAGTTTTTAATTTTTTATGTATTTTTTGAGGTCCAAATACCATTTTAGGAAATAGACGCCCGGGCTTTTATTTAAGGAAATACAGTACCTCATAATCTATTAATAGTAACAGTTGCCTTATAATTTATTAATAGTAACGGACCTAATAATCTATTAATAGTAACAATTTTATTATTAGTAACAATTACAATTACCTTATAATCTATTAATAGTAGCAGATTTATTTTTATTAATAGTAACAACTCTACATGTACATGTAACGTATTAAACTTAAATATCAAACCTAATAATCTATTAATAGTAACAATTACCTTATATAATTTATTAATAGTATTTTATAGTTAAAGAAAATATTTTTTCAATTATAGGATGTCAGTATTGCTCAAGAGTCTCTAGAACTTCTCGTCACTTGTCTAAAACTCCGTAAAAACCTTTTGAAAATCTTCTATGAGCTCTCACGTGTAGAAGAGTTTGTGATTGATGTGTTACTGGGCTCCTCCCAGCCCGACCTCCGGAACCAAATGATGGAATCCTTTTTTGATCTTTGTTTGGATGCTAGGTTTTACTCAGGTAGGATAAAATGAATAAATGAATATTGTAAAGATGGAGGAGAAATTTTGTCAAGTTTGGAATTTAAAAAACAGCCTTGCTTAGCACAAATTTGTCAATTT